CACTCTCCTCCATCTTGGCCTCCGTTCACCATTTCTCCCTTCCTCTGGCTGCAGACATCCTCCACCAACTGTCACACACCGGTGCTCCCTCTTTTCCTCTCCGCCGCTCACAGCAGGGGAGGGTCAGAAGCTTCTTGGCTGTCTGAAACAGAGGGAATCAGTCTCCGCAATTGGGTCGCGGGAAGGTTTCTCGTTGATTTCTATGAGTGGTTTTTCACTGAGCCATAGAAGTGCGACAATGACAATATGTATTTGTAAAAATAAGGGTTATGTCATTTAATTTATAACAAGCAGATTTCACAAAGTAATTCTGAGATTTTCCACTCTAATTATTCACTTTGAATGGTATCCAAGAACGAACCAACAACAAAAAGAGAACTAATAGGAGAAGAATTTTTCTACAGAATAAGTATTTAGTGTCTTTGTGGGTGAGATAATGGTTTAGAAGGAGGAAACAAAAAAAAAAAATTTAATATATTAAAATAAGGGACATTTTCTGGAAATTTCTGCTGCTGCATAATTAAAATTTTTCTTTAAGGGAAATAACAAGCAGGGAGGTCACATTGGAAAGATAAAATTAAGCCAAAGTAGATAAAAAGCATTTTATATGCTTTTAATTATTTTTCCCATCAAACATTAATTACACATAGGCATAGCACACAATAACTTGAGCAGTACATGATTAAATCCCCTGCATTCCCTTATGATAAGTCCAGGGCTCTCTCTATATATAAGTTATTACAATAGGACTTCGGACCGCGTATTTCTCAGACACCCATGTTAAAGATCCAAAAGATGAGTCATCAGATTCAATGAGTGGTTGTTTTACAGTGAAACTCACCTTGTATTGTAGCTTCTGACCATGCATCTTAAAACTTAAAATGTTCGGCTTCACCCTAACTGATATTCCTATGGGTTCTTCCACTTGCACTTTATAAGTACCAATTGGAGGATTTCCAACATTTGTGACAGTTCTTCGGTAGGTAATGGTAACATTATGGGCATCACTCTCAAAAGGCACTGCAAAGGAAGGGTAGTTCAGATCTCCAGGCTGCATGGTGGACCTTTTGGGGCATGTGAAATTCCGATCAAATAAGGCTATCTGAGAAGGACTATAATAGAGGCTACACAAGTAATGCAAATACTCATGAGGGAGGATGTCATATAGTAATCCTGGATCAGAAGCTTTCTGTATATCAACATGGCCTGAACCAATCGCAAAAGGTGTTGCAGGGCCACCATGATAAACATCCTTAATTGGACTCCCTCTATTATCCAAATTATAAGCGGTTGTCATCATGGCTGATTTAACTGCCGCTGGCGACCATTCTCTGTGCCTTGATATAAGTAGTGCTGCTAGGCCACTAACATGAGGGCAAGCCATTGAAGTCCCTGAGGCAAAATTGAACAAAACCCTTCTTTTGTCACCCTCCTTCCCAGATGGGCTACTTATACTTGGCCACGCTGCTAATATGTTCACTCCTGGTGCAGTCAAGTCCGGTTTGAGCAGGTCAGGACCAACTAGATTTGGCCCTCTCGATGAAAACGCAGCCATCATTGGTGCACGCTTTCCATAAGTGGTTCCTTTGAAAGTTAGTGAAGCTGTAGGTGATTTTGTAGAGTTCAAATAACTTAACATAGGCTTTCTTGCCTTGTCTTCCACAGAAACTGCTGGAGAAATGTAAGGAGAAGCAAAAAGATCTTCACCCTTAACGAGAAAGATGACCGTGCCAGCTCCTCCTACTGACTTCACATGCTCTGCTTGTTGATATTTGTTAAATCCTCCTATTTGTTCACAAACAACCACCTTTCCTTTTACAAGCTTCGGACTGAGTGTCCCCGGAATGCAATACTGAGCAAATTTTTTTCCTGCAGTTGGTCCATACACAATTGGCAATTCTTTTAATGATTTGCCAGAGTACAAAGATATCCCTTCAAAAATTTGTCCATTTCCAAGCTTGAGAATTGCGGGGAAGCTTCTATCAATGTAGCTTGCAGCCACTGTCATGAGCCATGGTGCAGTGTTGCCAACACTACGTGGGCCTTCATTTCCGGCTGAAAGTGAAAAAAAGATCCCTCGTCTGATTCCAGCGAATGCTGCTTGAGCAGTGGAATCCTCAAAATATGGGAAAGGTAGTTCAAACCCTATTGATATGGACACTACGTCCACTCCATCTTTAATTGCGTGATCAATGGCAGCGACAATATCACTACTTATGCAACTTGCAGGTGCTTCCCAGCAAACTTTATATACCGCGATTCTTGATGTGTACCTCATTCCGGCCGCCACACCCCTGGCTAGCCCATAAAAGCTTGCGTTCTGTACAAGATTACCGCCGGCAGTTGATGCGCAGTGAGTTCCATGACCACTTGCTGCTCTGGGGGACTTAAAATTTGCGGCTTCATTGACTCTGCCATGTTCTGCCTCGTACCCTTTAAAGAAGTATCTGGCACCGATGAGTTTGCGGTTGCAGTTTGATGGGGAGAAGTTTGTACCGCTCTCACAAGTGCCTTTCCATTTAGCTGGTACTGGACCAAAACCATGGTCCTGAAAACTGGGATGCTCAGGCCAGATACCGTCATCTATGACGCCAATTATCACATCGGACTGTAAATTTGAAGCATGCCAGAGTCCTCTGCCCTGTTCTAGGCCAAGAAACTGATAACTGTGTGTGGTGTGTCGACGCATTGACATGTCGGGAATGGCAGCGACAAAAGCATCCAAGTTTCTTATTGATTCTAGGTGCATAGGGGAAAGCTTGGAAGCAAAACCAAAGATTGCAGTTTCATATGCATAAAGTAGGCGGGGAGGTGGTGTTGCTTCTGAATCAGTGGAGAGTTGGGGGATTGAATTAAGCATTTCTTCAAACATTTCTTTGGAATTAGCTGCAGAAGGATAGGAGGTTTTCATCTTGGACTCGTCCATGTGAACAATGTATGTCCTGCTGTCCAATGAAGCAACTGAAATTGTGGCCATGAATGCCACCAACACCAAGGACGTCATGCCGCCCCTGAAGATCCTGTGAACTACAAAAA